TGTGATCATCTTGATTCAGCCTCCCAAGTCACTGGGATTATAGGTGTATGCTACCATGCCCAGCTAGCTAGTTTGTTCTTTTTCTAGCTTTCTTTTTTTTTTGTACTGGGGATTGAACCCAGGGTGCTTTTCCACTGAGGTACATTCCCAGCCCTTTTTGAGACAGAGCCTCACTAAGTCTTCTGATATGTATTTAAGATTATAAATATATTACAGCTCTAACTATATAGAAGTTTTAATGCAGCATTTTTGTTTCCAATTAACATTTCTATTTTCCATTTTGATAGCATTCATGGATTAGTATACATTTGTTAATTTCTAAATATAAGGGATTTTCTAGTTACCTTTTGATTTCTAGCTTAGTTGCATTATAGTCAAAGAACACTGTATATTTTGAGTTCTGTGACATTGAGATTTTCATACATGGCTCAGCAAGTGGCCAGTTTTTCTAACTATCTGATGTTTGAAAAGAATATGAATTCCGTAATTGTTGGGTACAGTGTTATATATGTGAAAGTTCGTTTATGTCATTCATATCGTCTGTATCTTGACTTGCCTATTATCTTTTCAAAACAATTTTTTCATAATACCTTTGTTTTATTTATTTTTATGTGGTGCTGAGGATCAAACTCAATGTCTCACACAGGCTAGGCAAGTGTTCTACCACTGAGCTATAACCCCAGCCCCTGCCTGTTCTGTTGCTAAGGTGTGGTAATCTCCCAGCATGTGGAGTTTTCTATTTCTTTAGTTGTAGCTGGAGTTTTCTATTTCTTTAGTTGTAAAAGGGACAGTGATATATGCAGAAGTTCAAGGACAAAAGCAGGAAAATCTTTTCTTTAGCCAAAATCACAAGAAAAAGATGACTGGAAATCTTATGGGGAAAACTAACAGATAGTGAGGCTATCTTATACCTTTAATGGAAAGGAGCTTCCTGTGGCAACATGGAGGTGGTGGAATTGAGTCAGCTTAGTCAGAAGCAGGGAATTGGGAATTCTGTTCATTTGACTTTAGCATCACTGATGCAGTAAATGTGGGTTTGAGGGTAATGGTGAAAGGTTATAACTGTGCTTGTTTTAGCGCTGCTGGGACATCGCCTTGGGTCCCCTCAAGCAGATTCCTATGAACCTCTTCATCATGTACATGGCAGGAAATACTATCTCCATCTTCCCTACTATGATGGTGTGTATGATGGCCTGGCGACCCATTCAAGCACTTATGGCCATTTCAGCCAGTAAGTATTTTTGAAATAATAAACCCTTCCATATGTTTTAAGAATTTAAAGTCTTAGGCATAATTTTTTTTTTTTTTTTAACCAAAAGGTATGCAGGGTGGTGATGGTAGTAGTGGTGAAATGGAGGGGAAAACAATGCTGCTCACAGTATTCTGTTCACCTTTAGTGATCCTATTTGCTATCTTATTTTGGGTTTATCTATATTAATATATATGATTGATTTGATTCATATTGAAAAAGGAAGGTTGTTTTGGTTTTGACAGCTTCTGTTATCCCCAACAGCTTTCAAGATGCTAGAGAGTTCAAGCCAAAAGTTTCTTCAGGGTTTGGTCTATCTCATTGGGAACCTAATGGGTTTGGCATTGGCTGTTTACAAGTGTCAGTCTATGGGACTACTGCCTACACATGCATCAGACTGGTTAGCCTTCATTGAGCCCCCTGAGGTAAGGTAAAAGAAAAGTCAAATTTGAGGCATTTGTACAGTGAATAGCTGACTCATTTGATGGTAGAGAATTAAGAGTTGGTATTAGAATTCATTTCTTAAGTAATAAAAGCTATTAGGTGTTTGGAAGATTTTTTTAATGATAAGAAATAATAGAACTTGTGATTAAAATATTGATTCAGAAAGTTATTTCAACACTTATTCACCACTCAACTGTTTACTGTTTCTTCTTCCAGAGAATGGAGTTCAGTGGTGGAGGATTACTTTTATGAACCTGAGAATGAAGCACCAGGTGCCTATATATTTGGCCTCATTTACATCCTTCTTTAAGCTAAATGGCTCCTTAAGTATACTTTTTTTTTTTTTTTTTTTTAAGTATACTCACTCATATTGAAAAGAACCAAAAAGCTCTCTTCTCCATGGGCAGGAGACAAATCATAGAAGGACAATGTGTATATTACTACAAACACAAAGAAACTATACCACAACCCCTGGCTGAAAATAATGTAGAAAACTTTATTTATGTTTGCAGTACAGAGCAAAACAAATAAAACCAGAACTCTATGTAAACAAAAGAGTGGTTGCTGCTAAATCAAAAGCCATAGCAGCATCTCCTTTTAATAAATTAAATGGTTGAAAACAATACTTAAAAGTTTCACAAATTTCCTTTAATAAATCTATTTTCCTTAATAGTTCACTTCTATTTAACACAAATTGGGACATAAAAATTCTATTGGAGACACTCATGGATGGAACTAATGCTGGATTTAAATTATACATGATGAAAAGAAAAATAAACCAGAAAAAAGAACACATAAATATGCTTACAGTGTAACTGTTACTTTAATACAATAAAGAATTTTTAACATGTTTAGGGGGAATGAGGATTGGTGGAATCCTTGGGACCACAAAGATCAGAGGCAATGGAAGATAAAGAGCAGTGGTCTTTCTCCTGCCACAAGGAACCTGTCAAACAGACACTGCAGTTCAAACTTCAGCTTTTAAGATAGCTATGGAAGGCAGAGAGCCAGCAGTAGGAGAAATTATATATTATCCTGCCCTGGTAAAGTCATCGGTAAGACTTAAAAGCTGGATCTTGCCCAAAAAGCAGGAGGTCTTAGTCTTCCCTCTTGAAACAAAAGCCCCTTCCCCTAAGGTGCATTCTCTCATCAAGTTTTCAGTATTGCTTTATTTGCAGTGATTAAACCAGACAAGACATTTTGTAGACAGACAACATAAGCAACACATAGACGTGAAATGCTCTAGACAGATGAATATAAATCTGGCCCAATAACCATTTTTCCATGTAACAGTGATTTCGTATTTTAGGGATTAAGGTAGTGGCATTGTTAATAAGTCACTAATTCCCTCCTCCCTTTAAAAGATTCTTATAGAGTTCCAACCACAAATAGCACTTCTAAAATTACCTTATTTTCTGCCCATATTTATTCTGTATAGGAAAAATGTGTATCACTTTGGCCAGGAGTATGTGTAAATTTTGGGAAATTCCTGGGCAGGATGACCTTTACAGTATTGGAGTCTTGAAGATCTTAGGTCCTAGGGGACCTGACCCATTACTACTATACTCAACTAAGCAGTGGAGTGTTGCAATGGGAGTTATAAATGAAATTTCTATTCCCCGCAGGAAGGAGCAGAAAAAAAAGACATAAGATACTGTCTGCTTTGCTACCCACAAATGGGCCTGAAGTTTGAAAGAAGAGCAAAAGGAACAAATCAAAATGACTTAATTTCTTAAGCCATACTGAACGATTTTCTTCTTTGTCCCTGTTTGTCAAAAGAATTATTTGCGAATGAGAGCTTATTCCAAATCTTACTGGGTAATCAAAAAAGAGTGGCACTATTTATCATTAATAAAGTGAAATTAAAAGCAGCTGTGAACACAGGCAAGAAGACAGTTTCTTAAATACCCATCTTGTATAAAAGAAATGGAAATTTCACATATTTGGAATTACTGCTTAGCCACACACATAGTTTCCCTATGCTGGTAAGCCAAGTGTTTTGTGATCAGTAAATTAGTAAATAAAAAGATGAGTTTGTAAAAGTATTTCCTTGGCACATTTAGAACTTTCTGGAAAAAAAAAAAAAGAAGACTGGTGGCTTGGATAATACTTGAGAGCCAAATTTCTCCAGTCAGAATGAAGAATAAAAGGAAAAGGGGGGAAATGCTCATATTTGGGCCATTTAGTTGAGTGCCTCAAGTCTTAACTATAACCTTAGGGATGAGGCCATAGATTACTTAGTGAAAACAAATTTTCTTGAATCAGGCCATTGTCAATTTGTATGCATTTTTAAGTAGGTAAGGAGAGTAGCAGCTTGATAACTTTGGCACTATGGAAACAGTATGGCTCTAGAACTTCCAGTTCCATTGCTGAATTCCCCCTTTTAAAGACAGTCCAGAGCTTTCAGAGAATATATTAGCCAGTCTTCCTAGTATTTGTTCCTTAAGGGTTCTTGATCCAGGCCTAGTAACTTGAGGCATAAAAAGAAGGACAGGAGAACCTAGTGGCCAGTGTGCATCATGACCTGTTTCTACAAAAAAGCTTATATATTTTGCCCTTGTCGCATATATAACCAGAGACTACTTGGGTAAATTTTAATAGCTACTCCTTGGAATTTCCTTAGTTTAGCCATTTAAAGAACCTGAAAGAGACCAATCCTTTTTTTTTTGTGTGTGTGTGTGTGTGTGTGTGGTAACAGTGCCTGTGTTACAACCACAGAATTTGTTTTGAGCTAAGAGAAACAAACAGCTGAAATATACATGGACACAGTGGAGATACTTAAACCTGACATTCTGGGGCAATCTTGTTTCTGAGGGAGAAGGAGAGGCTGCTGCCATGTTTTGTATTTTGTAGATATGTACCCTAACAGAGTCCTAGAGAACAGAAGGTACACTAAAGAAATAATTAGCTATAAAAGGTTTACATCTTGGCTTGCCACTGGTTATTTTCACAAGGCTAATAGGCCCCCATACACCTAGCCACAAATTCTTTAGTAAGGTGAGGCTGTCTCTGGCAGTTACCCCTGTGGTGTTATCATTGAACCATGACTTCTGAGACTCATCTTTAATGTTGGCTATGTACTTGCTTTTTGTCTTTAGTTGAATTTTTAGCATTCCTTTTATCATGTTGCTGTCTTCAACAGTGCTAAAAGGTTCCCATTTATTGGCTTTGTTAATCCTAACTTGCCTTCTCTCAGTACTGAATGGTTTTGGGACTTGATCATTCTTCTGATGTTGAACGAGTATCTGCTGCTTCTGTCATTATAAGGGAGCCAAGAACAGATCTATAAGTATTCTTGAACAAGTACTGGAGGCTCAGCTCATCAAAAGTTCAGTGTTACGTGTACAGAACACAGGACTCTAGTTGAGTGAGTGTGGTAATAAAGAACCATCACTTTTCCATGGAGGATGGAAGCCTTTTAGAAAATGAGAGACCAAGCAGAGTCATTCAGGAGCAGATTATGAGTAAATGGTGATCACTTCACTGCCACCACCGCGGACAAGGAGGACTCGTTCTAGTCCCTCGGTGAGTACTTCTAGAAACTCCATGTCTTCAGAATTTGTCAAGGAGACAAACAGGCAGAAAAGTTCACTTTACAACCTGGCATCTCTTATCTGGTATTATCTGATAAGAGCATGCTTCTTAATTATATAGTCAGACTTGGAGAAGTCTGAACATTTGTTTTGGTACCAGGGGTTGAACTCAGGGGCACTTGACCACTGAGCCACATCCCAGCCCTATTTTATATTTTATTTAGAGACAAGAGTCTCACCGAGTTGCTTAGCACCTCTCTTTTGCTGAGGCTGGCTTTGAACTTGCAATCCTCCTGCCTCAGCCTCCCGAGCTGCTGAGATTACAGGTGTGTGCCACTGTGCTCAGCTAAGTCTGAACTTTTTAAAAAAAATTTTTTTAAGTTTATTTTTTAGGTGTAAATGGACACAACACAATGCCTTTATTTTTATGTGGTGCTGAGGATAGAACCCGGGTCCCACCCATGTAGGCGAGTGTTCTACCGCTGAGCCACAAATCCCAGCCCCAAGTCTGAATTTTTGATTCATTAACTCTGAAGTAATCCAGGGATATAATACCTTTGCATATATAAGATTCTTCTATTTATTAGATATTTTCTAATGTTATTAAGAAATGAGGGAGTCCATAGTAATGTTATTCTAAATGATAAAAATGCAAAAAAAAAAACCCAACCACCCCACAACAATCCAGAAAGCACCCAATAATTTTTAAGTGAAGCCATTCAAGTCAGATTTTCCTGCCACTTCTTTTTTCAATTTTTTTTTTTTTACTTGTAGTTGGACACAATACCTCTATTTCATTTATTTATTTTTATGTGGTGCTGGGGATCGAACCCACGTGTGAGGCGAGAGCTCTACTGCTGAGCCACAACCCCAGCGCCCTCCCTCTTTTTTTTTTTTTTTTTTTCCATTTTTAAACCTCTTTTCTGTAATGGCAGGAATGGGCTAGTCTGTGTTGTTGCAATGCTGAAAGTTTCCAATTAAAACAATTCTGGGATGAAAGTATTAGGGAAAATCCCTTTTTTCTTTCTTAACTTTGAGTCTCCATTCTCAGCTGCTTCTCTGCTAACTCTATCCAAAAGAAAAAGGCTTTGCAAAATGGATAGAAAAAAGAATGTGGATATTCTGTCTCTAGGATGGTCATTTAATATAAGACACCAACTAAAAAGTCTTTAGGGTTCAGAGAGAATATATTGCACCCCCAACTTCCCAAAAGGAGTATCGTCTTACCACTTTGTAAGAATCCTTGCCTAAGACTTTAAAAGTCTGAGTTCCTCAAAGAGGGAAAGTGGGGCATAGACAATAACTTTTATGGTTTCCTAGATGTCTCATCTAAGAAATGAGCTAATAAGATTTTCCCAACTGGTGGTTCCACTTTCAAAAAGGATACAGTTTTCATCACCCTCAGGGTTTCGGGGTGGCCCTGGCATATTCAACAAAACCAGCTTTGCTTCATGGGACTTGTTAACTATAACCTCATTGAGCTTCACTGCTGTATGCATTCGTCTTACATTGGACTGGTCCCTGGGTAGGGAAGAAACAGACAGTTAAAGCAAAAAGAAAATAGTTACAATTGAATTTTAAAAACTTGAGGTCCAAAGCTTTTTTAACTTAACTATGGATAATGTGATAAGTAAAATAATTTCCTTATGATAGTAAATCCCAAGTTTTCTTATTTAATAAGCTAACAGTATGGAGATGAACTATGTGAAGAGAAAGAAGATGGTATTGTGTACACTTGGGAGCTAATATGCATAGGCAAACAATAGAGAAATGGCTGGATGTGGGTGAAATGAACAGAATTCATCCTATGTGTTCAGTCAGTCACATCTGTGTCACTGACTAGGATACTGTTTTACATGATAAGCTTCTGAGAGAAAACTTACGGACGCATGTTAAGTAGGTCTTGGAATCCTTCCATTGACTTGGCTTTTTGTCCCCGGGATGCCATGTACTTGTCTTTTGTCCAAGTCATGTGCACCTTCTCCTGATAGGTTTCTGTCTCTTCATCCTCATCAGAGCCAATGCTGGTCAGTCGTAGCATTGAATTCCGGTCTTTCACCAACTGTGCCTGGGAAGGTCCAACAAAGTTATTCTACCTAATATTCTCTCATGCTTCAACTATTTTGAAAAAAAAATGGGATTTTATTGGGATAATACAGTGAGAAGGAAAGAATTTGTCATCCTGTGAAAATAATACAGTATCATCCCTTTCACTAAGACTTCACAGAGCCACGATTAGATCAATGCAACAAAGTCTCACCTCCCTGTCCCGTTCTGTTTTGGATAGCCTCATGTGCCGGAGCATCTGGGACCGTTGCTCCATCATCAGCGTGCGCTCATAAGTATAAGCTGATATATCACTGTCATGCTGCCACAGACATCACACAAAGTGGGCAAAATGCACAAAGGAGAAAGAAGGATAGACCACACATTTTTACTTCCATTCAGTATCTTAAATCAGAAAATATATCACAATATCAACCTTTCACCTCTATTCTGTCTAGTCTCTGATCTACAAAGACATATTAGTTTGAGGTTATAAATCAAATCCAGAGGCTTTGAATATTTTCTGTAATTTATCTATTACATGTGTTTCCTTGAAACACAAAACACAAACTCTACTCTGTATTTTTCACACATAAGTCTCATTGTGAATTTAAGAATGAACTAAAAATTAAAAATATATTAGGCAGAAAAGAATCTGGCAGAAATATAAGAGCTGTATAATAAATGGAAAGCAAAACCAAAAAGTATTACCAAACATACATTATGTATTCTACTTATTTAAGTCAACAAATTAGAATTTTATTGGAAGTAGGGGATTAATTCACATTTATAGCTGAATAATTTCCTAAACCAAAAAAGGTTCTAGGAAGATAGGGTTGGGGGAGTATTGGTCACCTCTATCTCAAACTCCACTTTCTTACCATCTCCACCACTTCCACCTCTGCTTCAATGCGCAGATGATACAGGAAGGTGGCCAGGTCTTTTTTCATCTGGATACTGTTATCTTCTAGTTGAGCTACTGTGAAGATTCGTATGCTGCATTTTCGCCACACCTGACAGAATGCCATATGTATATGGAAAACAGATGCAAGGCAGAATTAAAGTTATTTTCTAAAACATGAGGCATTTTGACTTAAAACAATCCTGCTATAGGCATGAGGATATTTGTTCCTTGCTTGGTATGTTATTGTATTAGGGCAAAAGATTAACTAAGAAACACATTAAATATAGTTTTAAGGAGTTCTTGATTCCATAATAAGAAAAAACTGACAAAGAAAAGATGTCTCTTGTGATATTGTGAAATATACACTATCTGTGTACATGTCACTATTTCTTAGCATATGACTCCTAAAATCCTTTGCATCTTCATGGTGCTAAGTATGTTTTTGTATGCCAATGAGTTGGTCCATAGCTAGCAGCCTCTGCATAGCTTCAGAAGCAGGGCAGGTCACCAGAAAGACTGAGGCAGATTAGTGGGTTAGAATAGACTGAGGCAGATTAGTGGGTTTGGGTCAGCCCAAATCCACAACTACTTAGGAGGACAGAGGGATAGAAGGTTAAATCGATCACCAATAGCCAATGATTTGATGAACAATTCCTATGTAATAAAGCCTCTATGAAATCCCTAAAGAACTCGGTTCAGGGAACTTCTAGATAGCCGAACATGATGGGTTCAGAAAGGGGATGAAAACTCATGGCTCTCCCCATATGCCTTGTGCATCTCTTTATCTGCATCCTTTGATTATAATATTCTTTATAATAATTCAGTAAATGGAATAAAGTGTTTCTCAGTTCTGTAAGCCACTCTAGAACAAGGAGGGGGTCATAGGAACCCTCATTTATAGCAGGTCAGTCACAAGCATTAGGTAAATCAAACCTGGGGCCTGTAATTAGTAGAAGAAATGGGAGGGTCATTTTGTGGGACTGAGCCCTCAATATGTGGGATATGATGCCACCTCTGATTGATAAACAGTGTCAAAGCTGATTAGAGGACAATCAGCTATGATGAGTGCACTGAAGAAATGATTTCTTATTTGATGTTTGAGGAAAATAACATATCAATGTATCATCACTTGTCGGATACTTTATTCAGACAGTACATTAATGATACAAGACTAATTTAATTTCAATCTACCTAGTCTTACCAAAGAATGAGTACTCCTCTCTCTCTCTCTCTCTCTCTCTCTCTCACACTCACACACACACACACACACACACACACACCCCTTATACTTCCTTTAGAAACTTTTCTTTTTAATATGTGTTCACACATTACTGCTTTTTTCCAAAGGGAAACTTTATTTTCTGACTTAAATTTGAAGTTAGATTGTTATCAATTATTAAAAAAAAAACTATTTCTCGTAAAGTTTGAAATTGGGTTATGGAAAACTCAAGAATAATGCCTGACTTTTTGATTTTAAGCCACAACACTACATAATCAAGAAAGAATTTGTATAGTCAAACAAGACAGACGGGAGAAAGACTTAAAGTTGCCTAAAATACCTTGTGCTGTTTCAGTAGGAATGGCAAAAGCATGAGCATCCCCCCATCATGCACAATCCACCACACATCAATGTTGCCCTCAGAAAACTGTTCCACATTGCTGGGAAAGAAGGAGATGTTTTTAGCTACCAACAGGGCAAGATGGGCGGCAGTTGTCACTCGAACTGTTCCTAGGGAGAAAAAAAAAAGAAAATCGGGATAAGCAGAGAAGAATCCTTAGGTTTGCTTTACTTCCCACTGGGTCAGGAAAATAAGGATTACATTTCTTTTTTTTTGATTTTTTAAAAAAAATTTTTTTAAAAGAGAGAGAGAGAGAGAGAGAGAGAGAGAGAGAGAGAGAGAGAGAGAATTTTTAGTTTTTAGCAGCAGACACAACATCTTTGTTTGTATGTAGTGCTGAGATCGAACCCGGGCCACACGCATGCCAAGCAAGCGTGCCACCGCTTGAGCCACATCCCCAGCCCAAGGATTACATTTCTTTGAGCAAAAGATGCCCAAATACATAGTATAGTATAGATTATACCCCATTAAGTAACTAAACTCACTGAGAGAAATCTGAATAGCTAGCTGATTTGGATTGAGGATCATGGTTTACTTTACTAGATATACTCTTATTACTACACTTTCAAGGAAGCATAAATGAACTTGGGAGATTTTGATGCTGAAGGACTATCCTCCAATTCATGTGAGGATATAAGTACGAAAAATCATAAGTGAAAACATGGCAATTTTGGAGATAATTCCTAGCCCAATACTTGATAGAACTAAACAACTCATGAATATAAATGTAAAGCTGAAGAGGATAGGTAAAATCAGGTCATTAACACTAGTAGTTTTTTAGGTGGCCTCATAAGACCATGCTTCAGCAATGGCATAATGCTTACTTTAGAAGGTTAGGGGCTAAGGTTGGTATAAAAGGGATTCAACTCTATTCCCAATTTGGGCCTTTAGGTTAATATGGAAAATGTTTTGTACCAATAAAAGTCTTCCAAGCACGAGCATCTTCACTTTGCCGCCAACCATTGGGCCAGCCCATCACCACTGTGTTGTGCTTCATGCCCCCAAGGCCACATGATTGGATAAGGTGGGAAATGCCTTCTCTCAGCTTGGCAGCCACCACCAGCTGGCAGAATCCTTTTACCTTCTCTGCCTCCATTAGGTGCTTAATGGTCTGAAAGAAACACAAAACCTCAATAATGAATTGCTTTTCCCTAGACCATTAAAATCATTATTCCTTCTCCATATGATACTCCCCATCTCTTTTTAAATGTCCAAAAAATTAAAATTATTCCACTGAAATATCATCCTTTGTCCTTTTCAAAGGACAAAGTGCTGGTAGTCTACTGGGAGTTTCACTGCTTTTTTCTCTATTCTGCTTTTCTTCCTTTATAACATATCAAAAACTTGAGAATAGGGAGCTCCACAAAGCAAATACTCAAACTACTTTCTTAATGACCAAGAGAGTTCACTAGTGTGAACATGATCTCTTCCTTCCTCAGTTATAGTAATGCACTGACTTCACTTTCAGAAATTCAATCTGATGATTCAGTATCTCTTCAGGATTTTCCTAGGTAAGTTTTCCTTGTTGCTTCTCCCATTCTGTATCCTTTTTGACATTTCAATGGTGATTATTACTGATATTTTTATTTCATTTAACCCTCTTTGTGGAAAAGAGAAAGGAATAATAGTGTAGAAGATGGATCTAATTTTTCAAAGCAAAGATTAAGTCAGTGGTATAGGAGGATAAGAACTGTGACTTGCAATCTCGTGCTCTTTTTATGAATTTTGACCATCATTTTAATGTTTCTTAGTATTTCTGGTTTTTAGGGTTTCAAAGCATTCTGAAATGAAATCCAGAAAAAATTCTGAAATACAGTTGAAAATTTTCCAACAACAGGATTAGTTCTGTCATTTACAATAAATATTAGAGCTGGGGATGTAGCTCAAGTGGTCAAGTGCTTGCCTAGCATGTGTGAAGCCTTGGGTTCAATCCCCAGGACTGGAAGGAAAAAAAAAAAATGAAAAGGCTGGAAAATATAAATATTAGAAAACTACTTCCTTCTTCAGGTAGAACTCAGATATTCAGTAAACAGAAATGATAAAGGAATCTTGCTTATGATATCACATAAGTTGGTAAAGTGGAAGAAGAGTTGTTCCTTTCTCCTCATCATAAGATTTAGAAACTGTTCCTATAGTTCAAATGATAGATTTAATTATTTAATTTCTCTCAGTGATCAGATCAATGTTTGGAATCTATTTGGGAATAATTTTCAGGGTTAATAATCTACAGCTTACTCATGATTTAAATGGGAAGGAAGAATAGACAGTTGTCTTCTGGTTAAACTTATTATCTGGAAGAATATAACTATTATGGTTTTGATATCAGGTGTTCCCTGAAAGCTCATGTTTGAGACAATACAAGAAAGGTTAGAGGGGCTGGGGCTGTGGCTCAGTGGTAGAGCGCTCACCTAGCATGTGTGAGGCACTGGGTTCAATCCTCAGCACCACATAAAAAATAAAAACAATAATAAAATAAAGATACTGTGCTCACCTATAACTAAAAAATAAATATTAAAAAAGAAAGGTTAAAAATGAAATCATTGGATTATAAGAGGTTTAACCTAATCAGTGCATTAATCCTATGATGGGGATTATCTTGGTAATAACTGTAGGCAGGGTGTAGCTGCAGAAGGTGGGTACCTGGGGGTGTACCTTTGGGGTTTATATTTTGTCCTTGCTGAGCAGATTTCTCTCCCCTACTTCCTGATGCCATGTCCTGAGCTGCTTTCCTCCACTACACTCTTCTGTCATGGTGTTCTGCCTCACCTCAGGCCCTAAGAAATGAAGTCTGCTGTCTGTAGACAGAGACCTCTGAAACTGTGAACCCCACAAAAAAACTTTTTTTCCTTAAAATTGTTCTTGTCATTTCTTTTGGCACAACAGCAAAAAAGCTGACTAAAACAATGACTGTTCAAAAGTCAGCACTGGTAGGGCATGGTGATACATGCTTGTAATCCAGTTTGGGATTATGTGGGAGGTTGAGGCAAGGGGATTGCAACTCTGAGGCCAACCTCGGAAATTTAGTGAAATCCTGCATAAATAAATAAATGAATAAGAAGGGCTGTGGAGTGCCTGCCTAACTTGCAAGACTCTGAGTTCAATCTCTAGTACCACAAAGAAAAAACAAAAAAAGAATTAGCCCTAACTGGGAAACCTAGATCACACAGGAAATGAATTGATTTATAAGTCTGAACTTTTAGTACCAAACATCACAATGCTTACACTAAGTTCTATCAAGTCAATAAATCTTGACTCTTACCTGCTCAGCAGCTAAAGCTTCACCATAGTTCTCCAGGAAGTTCCCCACAATGACAGAACCCACAATAGTGAGACCCTTTCCTGCTTTGAGCTGTGAGGCAAAGGTGAGGAGGCGAGGATGCTTGACATGTAAGTCTTCATCTAGTTTCAGTAATACAAGCAACTGAGGCCTGTGAAGAGGTTAGATGAGGGTGGAGGGAGAAAACATTTTGGATTTGGGAAAAAGAATGTCAATTCCCACTTTAATTCAGGAGATCTATATAAAACATGTAATTTGATAATAGGAACAAGTCAGAGGAATAAGATGAGGGTACTGAGTTATTTTGAATGCTCTCAGTATTATCTCAAATTTATCAGTCTTCAAGAGAAAACAATAAATGATAGAAATCTAGATAACAAATCACATGATGAAAAGGCAATAAAGAGTTGAGATAGTTAATAAAAAAAAAGGTCCATTATTCCAATTCCTTGAGCAGTATGATTATCTTATCCTGTAATCAACAAAGCACATATTTTTTTGTGCATTAACTATGTGCCAAACACCACTAGGCCTTGTTGATTTCTTTACCTCCAGTTTTTAGTGTGTGGAGGTCCTTCCTCCAGCCGAAGCAAAGCAAACCGGGCTGCACTGAGGGACAGCCCACGGATACCATCGCCCCATTCCTTCTCAGCTCTGGAAGAAAAAGGAGAAAAGAGTAGAGACAGACTTAAACCAAGTTAAGTATAATTTCAAAAAATAAAGTTCATTTTTTTAAAATCTAAAAGTACAAATGCACAAAGAAGATAAAACATATTAATGATTTATATAATGTTCTTCACTAACATAATGAATCCACTGACAGCAAATGAACACCACCCAGCACCACAGATTGCACTGCACAAATGATTCAGAATAAAGACTGGAAGGCCACTTGCTTAGTCCCTATGTATATTTAAAAGCAGTAATATAAAATAGTTGTTTGGATTAGGAAAGTGTCACAGACCAACAACTTAAATTATTCTGAAAATATGTGGGAAAGTAAAATTCAATGTAATCTTCTGAATCAAAATGTTATGAAGTCTCTCTTTTAACAAAATTATTTAGGACTAATTTAATTTTTTATTTCACAGACAATTCCTTGACTTCAGTGTTATATTGTGCTTAGTACCTCTCATTATTATTTGACTATGTTCTTTTAGTTATTTTTCATTGAGCTATTCACTCTTTCTCGTAATTAAAAGTTTATTATCTTCTGTAAGATGATAAAAGAATCAGGGACGAAAAATTTAGTTAGGGACAAATGAAGTTACCTGGATCCTAAATTAATTTTCATTGCCAGTCTTAATACTTTTAGCAGTGATCAAGGTGAAATCCACACTCACCCTTGGTACTCAATGTACTTGTAGATCATACCAGCTATTACCATAGCTACGATGGCATAATACCAGGAAGAAATGAACATCAGAGCTAGACAGATACTCATTCCAATGAAAGAGAGGGCCCTAGAAAGTTGAAAACAAAACATAAATAAGGATCTTTTAAGCAACAAAAAAAGAAGACTGTGCTAAAGGTACTTCTCATATTATTTGTGGTATGGGTTTATTATTTTTTAATCCATTACAGATGGAACTTTTGTATAATGCCATAAAAATGCATTGTTAGAAAATTTATCTCAAGCAGGGAATGTTATGGCAATGTGTTTTTATTTTCTTGTGGTGCAGGGGATTGAACCCAAGTCCTTGAGCATACTGGGCGAGTACTCTACTACTAAGCCACACCCCCAGCTCATGTGGCAAGCTTGAGTTGCTATAAAATTTCTAAATACTTATTCCCAATTTCTATAGTTGACCACAAACAGCTGGTAGATCTGTACTGAGCCCCCAAAGCATCCTTTGTAATAGAGGATTTCTCCCCATGGCTATAAAAACATGAGAGAACAGCAACTCTACAAACATCATCTGTAATGAGGAGGACAATTAATACTAATTTGGCAAAGCAGATATTGAACATGCAGTCAGAAATGTTAATAACTCTATAATCTTTAAGATTTTTTCATATAAATATTTCTGAAAATTTTATGAACATTTCATTAGCATAACTCAGAACCCACTGAGGAAAATTTGCTGAGTTTCCTTACAGTACATAAGAGAAACTTGGTAGAGAATAATGAAATACTTTTTTTTTTTAGTATGCCTCTTTAAAATAAAGATCAGTCAGTCAGTCTGTCTGTCTTGTCTGTCTGTTTATAACATATGTACTACTGGGTGGGCTTTAAACTTAAGGAGTCAAGCATGCTAGACAAGTGCTCTACCGCAGAACCACAGCCCCTACCTGAAATATGTGCTTTGATCAAATAAAATTAGATAACTACATTTCCTGAAGCTCTTCTGTGTGCAGAATGAACATCCTAGCTCTGTGACTAGGAAATTTTAAAGTGTGACTAGGAAAGTTATTAACTTAGAGAAGATCTCATAAAAATAAAAAAAATAGAACCTAGCAAAACAAAAATGTTCATAATGAATTTTAAACTAAATTTAAGACTAGAAAAAAGATCAGAAGTGTCAAAATCCGTTGAAAAGTCTAAAAAATTTTTGTCTACCATATCACTTCCCACCATTGGTAAGTGAAGCCAGAAAAGGAAAGCTAGCAAAGAGGAATAAACTAACAGGTACATATAAAATATAACTTAAAAACTCTTCGGTTATGAAAAAGAAGATGGGATGGCAACCAGAAAACTTGGATGGCTCCTTCAGGACTGGGGAGGCTTAACCACAACAGTAGCAACACCATTTCATTAAGAGCTTTACTATGTACCAGACACTGTACTAAGCACTCCAGACTTATTAGTCCCTTTTACAACAAGTAAAATGAGATTTTACATGGTTATGTGCTTTGCTGAAGGTTACAATGTGAGGAAGTAGTTTTAAGCTATGAACGTGGATCACCTGAATCCACAGTCAACATTCTTAACTACTAAATGAAATTCTCCTAAGGAAGAAAGTGAGTGAATGAAAACTGATGAGAATATGAGAGCAAAATAAAAAGGGATGAAGTTAAGTACTTAGCTAAGAGGGAAATGGGAAAATAGAATTGTAATGGAAAGGTTGTTTTAACCTAAAGAATGAAAATGCCTGGAAATAATGTATATTATAGTTATCTTTATTCTTAGTGTGATATTATATAGTGATCAAGTTATTACAATGTGATTTAGAAAAAAATTGAATAAAAAAGTGAGGATCCGCATGAGAACTAAATGTTAAAATAAACTTATAGAATGGCTGGCCAAGAAAAACAAATGTATCAAGAGCCCAGAATCTGGGGGCTGGGGATGTGGCTCAAGTGGTAGCGCACTCGCCTGGCATGCGTGCGGCCCATACAAACAAAGCACCACATACAAACAAAGATGTTGTGTCCATCGAAAACTGAAAAATAAATATTAAAATTCTCTCTAAAAAAAAAAAAAAACCCAGAATCTCCTAGTTTTCTAGCTTAGAAATATTTCCTCTCCAAAAGAAGAAAACAAGGAGACCTACCAGTGGTAGTAGCGGAATCGGGGCCTCCAGTTTGGTGTTCGAAGTAATGTTTGCAAGGCACATGCCAAGTTCACAAAGAGGTAACACATGAGAAAAAACCTGGAAGAACAATAAGGACTAGGGTTATAGCTTAGTGGTGGAGTGTTTGCCTAACATTCCCTGGGTTCAATCCCTAGTACCATTAAAAAAAAGAGGGATAGGAAAAATTCAAGTTGTATAAGTAGAGAAAAACCTATGGTAATTTATAAGCTAGCCTTACATGAAAGTTCTCAGGAATATCATTTAAGTGAAGTAAAACCTGTATTTAGCCCACTATGTCACTATAATTTCTGTTAAATGATTTGTGGAAATCATGTGTTATATGTCATTTAAGCAAGAATAATTGAAGAGAACACCTGGCTCTTACATGGAAAGAATTGGGGCCACAAGATCCAGGGAGGCAATAAGGATTCCCAGCTCTGCAATAGCAGCAGTTAGAAGTAAAGCCCAGGTAGGTTCCCCATTGGCTTTGCTGTGACCAAAAACCTATGTATAGAAGGGAAAATATCAGTCATAGTCATAGTTAGTCAATATGCCCTCATTCTTGTAACCTACAATTTGACATCTGAAAAATAACAGTGTTACAAAAGTGTTGTCTTTTAAACACCCTTACAGCAAACATATATAAACTCATACTAGAATTTAGAGGGTCTTGAACTAAAACCCCACATTTTCATATTTATGAGCTAGTAATACCTAAGCCCACAAAGACCACACTGTTTCTCATAAAATGTGGAAAAAAGAAGAGGACATAGGAAAAAGTCACTCACCCTCAGAAATGGTATGATGTTATCCTTGGCAATAGCCTGAAGCAGCCTTGGGGCACCTGTGAGGCTCTGCAGTCCAGCCCCACATGTTGAAAAGAAGGAGCCAATAACAATCACCCACGGGGATGGCCAAGATAATGTGCCCACCACCAAATTACCTTTTACGGCATCCCCAAACCTAGATAAAGAAATAAACAGTAGGGAAATTTAATTTGGAAATAACTTTAGACTTTAGAAAGAGATAGTTGCCCAATTTTTTATTTATAATTTTTAGAAAATAAAAATTGAGACAGATATGAATACCAAGAAATACAAAGACAGAAAGCTTTGATTGAAAGGCACTGATGGGGAAGAGGGGAATGTAGCTCAGGGGTAGAGTGTTAGCTTACCATGCTGGAGGCCCTGGGTTCAATCCCTGGTTAACCCGACAACCCCTGCCCCCCACTCAGAAAAAACAAAAAAACAAAAAAACAAAGACACTTATAGGGGAAGCTCAGTAGTAGAGCACTTGTCTAGCATGCACAAGGCCCTGGGTTTATCCAACTACCCACCTACACTACAAAGGCACTGCTGACTTGTATTAAAACACACACACACACACACACACACACACACACACACACAACAGCAAAAAACTAGTAGGGCCAGAAAATAAGATAAGCTTTGTTTGTAGCTTTCCCCTTTGGATTATCAAAATATTTGCTTTTGAGGGGAAATTGTTAAAGGGCAAAAAATGGGGGGGGGGATCCATAATCTTAACTGCTTACTCTGCATATTTTAGAAAATACTCTTGCACAGTTTAAACATTTTTTAAACACTGATGAGATCTTAATGAACCTATAATTCTGTATATATTTTTTTATACTGGAGACTAAATCCAGGGGCTTTTCACCACTGAGCTACATCCCCTATCCTTTTTATTTTTTATGTTGAGACGGGGTCTCACTAAGTTGCTGAAGACCTCACTAAGCTGCTGAGCTGGCTTCAAACTTGTAATTTTCCTGCCTCAACTTCCCAAATCCCTGGATTATAGGCATGAGCCACCAAGCCCAGCTAACTCTGTATTCTTTTGAAGCATATTCATTTTACTGTGTTATGAAAAAACATGAATAAAAATTCAGTGGTTTGAATAATATAATATATATTAATAATATATATTATCCATTCTTCTAATCATATAAAATACATGTTAATTAACGTCTTTAATGCACATACTACATAGATGTACCAGATTTTTTCTCTTATAGCAGATTCCTGAGGGAAAAACCATGGATGGGTAGGGGGAGGGACCAATATATTTAATCATTTCAAAATCACAAACTGCTTTCCAGAAAGGTTATACTTATTAGATGCATGTGAGGTTTCAAGTCTTATATACATAACATATTCCACACAAGATGTATTAAAATTTGCAAATTTAATGGGTGAGATATGATAATCTCTAATTATTTTCATTTTAAAATTAAGTACCACACACAAAAAATAATGTACAAAACCCAAATGTATATCTCAATAAACTTCCACAAAGCAAATACCCATGAACTACCATATAGGTAAAATAAGAGAACACTTCCAGCATCCAAGTCTTTCTATTCCCAATCACAAGCCCTTCCTTCTTCTCCACTTTCCATTACTCTGTTTTTTAATGCTATGTAGTTCTATATGTTTTTAAATTTTATACAAATGAAATACAGTATATACATTTTGCATTTTTTTTTTACTCAGCATTGTGGAAATTCTTTTTTCCCCCCTATATCCTTGTGGTTATTTTACCTTTTACAAATATCTTTAGTTGTACATGGATACATACTTTTTGAAATTTTCATGCAGTGCTGATGATCAAATGAACCCAGAGCCTCACACATGCTAGGCAAGGGCTCTCCCATTGAGCTACAACCCCAGTCCAGTTATTCTACTTTTATTTTCCATTGCATGAATATATAATTTATTCATTATAGATACTTGGATTATTTTGATTTTGGTATTTAAAAATATTATTACTGTAACTCCATCCATTTACCTGCAAATGCCATGATTTTATTCTCTTTTATTGCTCAGTAATATTCCACTGTATATATTTAATATATTTTTTTATCCATTCATCAACTGAAGGGCATCTATGTTGGTTCCACAGTTTAGCTATTGTGAATTGTGCTGCTATAAACATTGATGTGGCTGTGTCCCTGTAGTATGCTGTTTTTAAGTCTTTTGGGTATAGACCTAGGAGAGGGATAGCTGGGTCAAATGGTGGTTCCATTCCCAATTTTCCAAGAAATCTCCATACTGCTTTCCATATTGACTGCACCAATTTGCAGTCCTACCAGCAATTATGAGTGTACCTTTTTCCCCACATCCTTGCCAACACTTATTGTTGTTTGTCTTCATAATAGCTGCCATTCTGACTAGAGTGAGATGAAATCTTAGAATGGTTTTGATTTGCATTTCTCTAACTGCTAGCGATGATGAACATTTTTTCATGTATTTGTTGATTGATTGTATATCTTCTGAGAAGTGTCTGTTCATACTAAGTGAAGTTAGCCAATCACAAAATGCTGAATGTTTTCTCTGATATAAGGAGGCTAATTTATAGAGGGGTAGGGAGGGGGAGCATGGGAGGAATAGACGAACTCTAGATAAGGCGGAGGGGTTGGAAGAGAAGGGAGAGGGGGCATGGAATTAGAAATGATGGTGGAATGTGATGGTCATTATTATCCAAAGTACATGTATGAAAACATGAATTGATGTGAATATATTTTGTATACAACCAGAGATAGGAAAAATTATGCTCTATATGTGTAATATGAATTGTAATGCATTCTGCTGTCATATATAAATAATAAAAAAAATACTATTACTGGGCTGGGATTGTGGCTTTGTGGCAGAGTGCCTGCCTTGCACACGTGAGGTACTGGGTTTGATCCTCAGCACCATACAAAAATAAATAAATATAATAAAGGTACTGTGTCCATCTACAACTAAAAAAGTTTTTTTAAAAGAATAAAAATAGGTCTGGGGTTGTGGCTCAGTGGTAGAGTCCTTGCCTAGCATGCTTGAGGCACTGGGTTTGATCCTCAGTACCACAATCTAAAATAAAACTAAAAAAAAAAAAAAAAGAATAAAAAAGAATAAAAATAAATAAAATACTATTACTGTGAGAAATTTTGTGTATGATTTTTTATAACTTTTTTTTTTATTCTTTTATGTGGTGCTGAGGATTGAACCCAGTGCCTCACACATGTAAGACAAGCATTATATCACTAAGCCACAACCCCAGCCCTGCATTTTTTTTTCCTTTTTGTTTTATACTCAGGGGCACTTCACCACTTAGATCCCTTCTCAAATTTGGTCAGATTTATCTCACTGTTTTCCCCTATCCTATCCCTTATCCTTTCCCTTCATTACTCTTTGCCTACTTGATAATCGCCATTCTGACTGGAGTGAGATGAAATCTCAGGGTAGTGTTAATTTGCATTGCTCTAATTTCTAGAGATGTTGAATATTTTTTCATATATTTGTTGACCATCTGCATTTCTTCTTTTGAGAAATGTCTGTTTAGTTCCTTTGCCCATTTATTAAGTGGGTTATCTGGGGAATTTTTGGTGTTCTTTTGAGTTCTTTGTATATATCCTGGATATTAGTGCCCTACTTGAGGAGCAGATGGCAAAGATTTTCTCCCATTCTGTTGGCTTTCTCTTTGCACTGTTTCCTTTGCTTTGAAGCTTTTTAATGCTTTGAAGCTTTTTTAATTTGACTAACTTTTGATTTTATTTCTTGGGCTCTAGGAGTCTTGTCGAGGAAGTCAGTTCCCGAGCCAACATGTTGAAGTACTGGGCCCACATTTTTTTCTAGCAGGTGTAGGGTTTCTATCTAATTCCTAGATCTTTGATCCACTTTGAGTTCCATTTTGTGCAGGGTGAAAAGGGTTAAATTTCATTCTTCTACTTATGGATTTCCAGTTTTCCCAGCATCAATTGTTCTTTTTTTTTTTTTTAAATGCTATCTTTTCTCCAATGTATGTTTTTAGCACCTTTATCTAGTATCAGATAACTGTAATGAAGTGGGTTTGTTTTCTATTCCATTGGTGTTCTTCCTGTTTTGGTGCCAGTATCATGCTGTTTTTTTTTTTAAGGGATTCAATGTTTTTCTTTTTATTTATTTATTTATTTTATATAAAGGTATGACCTGCTTGGTTTTATTTATTTATTAATTTTTTTAAGATTTGATGGATCTTTATTCATTTATTTATATGTAGTGCTGAGAATCGAACGCAGAGCCTCACACATGCTAGGCAAGTGCTCTACCACTGAGTTACAACTCCAGCCCTTCTGTTTAGATATACATGACAGTAGAGTATATTTAGATATATTATACCCACATGGAGTACAACTTCCCATTCTTGTGGTTGTACATGATGTGGAGTTACACTGGTTGTGTATTTACATATGAACATAGGAAGGTTATGTCCAATTTATTCTACTGTCTTTCCTACTCCCATATTCTCCCTTCCCTTCATTCCTCTTAGTCTAATCCAATGAAATTCTACCCCCACACTTGTGTGTCAGCATCTGCATATCAGAGAGAACACTCAGCCTTTGTTTTTTTGGGGGATTGGCTTATTTTACTTAGTATCATAGTCTCCAGTTCCATCCATTTACCAGCAAATGCCATAATCTCATTCTTCTTTATGGGCTTAGTAAGATTCCATTGTGCATATATACCACATTTTCTTACCCATTCATCTGTTAAAAAGCATCTAGCTTGTTTCCATAGCTTAGCTATTGTGAGTTGGGGTGCTATAAACATTGATTTGGCTGTGTCACTATAGTATGCTGCTTTTAAGTCCTTTTGGTATATATCTAGGAATGGGATAACTGGGTCAAATGGTGATTCCATTCCAAGTCTTGCTGAAGAATTCAGTTCCTAAACTGACATGATGGAGACTTGGATCTACATTTTCTTCTAGTAGGCACAGGGTTTCTGGTAAAATTCCTAGGTCTTCGATCCACTTTGAGCTGAGTTTTGTGCAGGGTGTCAGAGATAAGGATTCAATTTCATTCTAGTACATACTATGGATTTCCAGTTTTTCCAGCACTATTTGTTGAAGAGGCTATCTTTTTCTCCAATGTATGTTTATGGCACATTTGTGTAGTATGAGATAACTGTATTTATGTGGGTTTATCTCTGCTTCTAATCTGTACCACTGGTCTTTATGTATGTTTTGGTGCCAAAACTATGCTGTTTATAGCTTTGTAATATAATTTAAGGTCTAGTATTATGATGCTTTCTACTTCTCTTTTCTTGCTAAGGATTGCTTCGGCTATTCTGGGCCTCTTATTTTTCTCAACAAATTTTATGACTGCTTTTTCTATTAAGAATGTTATTGGAATTTTAATAGGAATTGCATTAAATCTGTATAGTGCTTTTGGTAGTATGGCCATTTTGACAATATTAATTCTGCCTATCCAAGAACATGGGAGATCTTTCTATCTTCTAAGGTCTTCTTCAGTTTTTCTTTAGTATTCTCTAATTTTCATTGCAGAGGCCTTTCATCTCTTTTGTTAGATTGATTCCCAAGCATTTTTTTTTTTTGAGGCTACTGTGAATGAGATAGTTTTCTTAATTTCTCTTTCAGGAGATTCATCGTTGGAGTCTAAGAATGTGATTGATTTATTGGTGTTGCTCTTGTATCCTGCTACTTTGCTGAATTCATTTGTGAATTCTAGAAGTCTTCTGGTGGAAGTTTTTGGGTCTTCTAAATATAAAACAAAGATAATTTGAACTCTTCTATGTGTATCATTTTAATTTCCTTGTTTAGCATAATTGCTCTGGCTAGAGTTTCAAGGACTATGTTGAACAACAGTGATGAAATTGGGCACGGGATACTTGATTCTAAGCAAAGGAAACAGATTAGAAAATATATACAGAGATCTGAAACAATAAAGCACATTTAACTCTAAATTACGACTAGGGCATAGGGAGCTTATGAAGGAATGGTGAGAGGTAAGAGCAGAAAGAGGTGCAAAGGTACAAAGTGGTGTTTGTCTTTTAAAATTATTTTTTGCAGTATTAGGGACTGAACCCAGGACCTCACTTTTACCAGGCAAACACTCTACTCTTCAGCTACACCTTTAATCCAGTAAGATTTTTTGAGACAGGGTTTCTCTAAATTGTCAGGCTGGCCTAGAACTTTTGATACCCTGCCTTAGCCTGCTGAGCAGCTAGGACTACAGAAGTGAGTCCAGTTCATCAAAGTGATAGATTTTAAGGGGACTTGGCAAGCTCTAAGCAAGGAGATTTATGTGAACAAATTTTGTGCTTTAGAAAAATTGTCCTACTAGCAGTGTGAAAGACTGATTAGAAGGCAGTAAAACTGAAAGGGAGATTATTAAAATAACATAGGCCAAAAATCCTGAAGGCCAGTACAAAGTGTTGGGAATACAGAATAGGGGAAATAATGAGACCAGTTAAAGTGAAAGGGTGGAATTTACAGGGCTTAGAAACCACCTGAATGAGGGAATTAATGGCAAAAGCCTAGGATGACATCTAGATTTCTGTCTTGATAGAGGGGTGAAAGGGGAGGCTATTAACCAAGATGGGAAACATGAGAAGCAGCAGGTTTTAGAGAAGAGAAAAAGATGGCAACAACAAAACAGCAGCATTCACAGAGGAAAGAAAAAATTAACAGCTTTTATTTAAAATGACAATTATCTCACAAAGGAAATGCTAGACACTTCAAAGTTGTTTTGTTTTATTTTCTCTTCCATACTTTTCTGGACTATTTTCCCAACAGTTTTTAAACTGTATAAGGAAATACTTATTCAGGCAAATTCACTGCTTTTTTTGAAGAGTGATATTCATTGCATCATACATATTTATAACACACTGGTCCTTATTATTCACTAATAGTTTGGGAAACTATATGCATATATTTTCTTTTAAGTGCTAGGGATTAGAACCCAGGGTTCTTGCACACGTTAGGCAAGTGTGCTATTAGTGGTCTTAACTTACAATTCAATACATACATTTTCTTATTGTTAGTCATGATTTATACCTTTGGTTGGATTTTTGAGATTACAACTGTCTTGGAGCTCTGTTGAATGATCAAATGTCATAGAAGAGACATTTGATTATTACAAAGAAATTAACTACTCACTTGTCTCTGAGAACAGCACCTTCAATACACGCACCAAAAAGGATAACGTTGCTTAAATCTACCACACTTAGTCAAGGAAACTGCTATTTATCTTCTAACATCAGATAAGAAGTAGACACTCAGCATTATTTTTCCTATCAATAAAATGAGTGGCTAAATATACTAACCCTATAAAATTCTTCTTGAATTTTTCATATAAGGTAGGTAGATCTTCTAGTAATTAGTGAGGTCATAGAAGGAGATAATTTTATTCACTGTAAAAGCACTGATTGTCCTACTTCTACTGGATGTTCCTCTATGACTCATGAAAAGGATACAGACAAAGGATGTAGTCAGGATGGCAAGGATAGTTCCAATGGGAATAGACTTCTGAGCATCTTTCAAATCTCCAGATCTATTAGAACCAGCCATGATACCTTTTAGAGTGGGGGGAAAGCCAAAGTTAATTTCTTCAGCTTCTGGAAACCTTGATATTCATATTAATACCCAAGACAATGGCAAATTGAGGAACCTTGAAAATATAATTCTGTCTCCTTAGGAAAAAAAAATCACTCTGTAGGTCTGACAGCTTTTCAAATATAAAACAGAGTATCTGCTTACCTGTGACAGAGGGAAAGAAGATCCCCACTAGGAGTGTGAAGGAGGTGGTAATATCAACAAGAACATACTCATGATTTAAACTTCCCAAGACATCAAATGATTTGGCTGAGGGTTTTTCAATGATCTCTCCTTTGGGTAGATAATTACTCCAAAGATTCTCTGCAGTGGGAAAAAAAGAGAATATAGGCAACAGCAGTATGGTAAGAATATAATTAGGTAATTTCCTACCCAAACAATATTAAAAATCAGACTTTGCTTTCATATAGTATTTATTTATTTAGAATCAAATCCAGTGCCTCACACATACCAGGCAAGCAATCTGCCACTGAGCCACAACCCCATCCTCTTATCAAAGTTTTAAAAGGGCTGTTTCTTAAATTTCAGCATATAAATAAACACCACAGAATAAAATACACATAAATAAAAACATAATGCCTTTTCTCACTTATTTTTTTTTTAATATTTATTTTTTAGTTCTCGGCAGACACAACATCTTTGTATGTGGTGCTGAGGATTGAACCCAGGCTGCATGCATGCCAGGCGAGCGCGCTACTGCTTGAGCCACATCCCCAGCCCCTTACTTAATTTAAATATAACTTGACAAAATGCTTTGATACAACAATGCAGTCAAACTGAACATCTCACAAAGTCCATTATTCTTTTTTTATTAGTTATCAATACTAAGAATTAAACTAAGAATTAAATTAGTGTGAGTTTGTTTAACGTGCAAAGAATTCATGAACCAAACATTTAAAGTAGACGTCACTTAACGAGAGTTTTGAGAATTTAACCGAGTTAGGAAAACACATGTGTGGATGTAGTGACATTAAAACAGTTCTATTTTAACTGTCACTGCAGGGGGAACACTGGCAATTTTTCAGGAATACACAAAGCTGGGTGTGGTGGCATGTGCCTGTAGCCCCAGCTACAGAGAAGATCGATTCAGGAGGAACATGTGAGCCTAGAAGTTGGAGGCCAGACTACACAACATAGCAAGACTCTGTCTCAAAGAGAGCCAGAAGCAGAGAGAGAGAGACAGACAGACAGAAAGAGACACAGACAGCAGACAGAGAATATACACAAAATATTTTAGTCATCTCTGTCCTCAGAGGGACATATATTTTAATAGATAACACTCTGCAAGGGAGTCTTAAGACAATTTTTCTAAGAGGAAAGTAGAAATATATTGAATTAAGAGCTGTGTGCTGAGAGCTTAAGACAGGAAGTCCCATCATGGCCATATGTCTTCATGGACAATAAAAGAATATAACATGAAAGAAAGTCTATTTTCCTAAGAGAAGAATAAAAACATGTCTAACAACCCACTAACTTACCTGTAATTATACCACTAGCCAACCCAGGAATGCCCTGGATTGAAGTGACATTATTGTGAACAAAGTATTCATCACAGGTAGCATTGAAAAATTGACTTGAGTTACAGAAGAATCCCCACAACTTTGATGGTACCGTCATATTGTTAATTTCCTTGGTCTTAGAGCAAACATCAATGTGTCTTGATGAAAGGGTACGATTACCCAGCATGCAAACCCTAAGTGAAAACAAATGGGGAGAAGATCAACAAGAAAACTCACATACACATTTTTAAAAAAGGAAACAGGTCAGTAAAGGGGAAAAAAAATCTCAGTAGTGAGAGCTTATTCTGTCATAGGTAGGAGAGGAAATGATATTTATTGAGTAGCATTGTGAATGATGACTTATAGTTACCACCAAATAATCCTTATAGGGATCTTGCAACGTATTAATATTTCTGTTCTGTGGATGGAGGAACTGAAGTTTAAGGCAATACAATATTTTGCCTAAGGTCATACAAGTGATTGGTGGCAGGGATACAACTCAAACAAGAACAATCAGAAGACACTATGCTGACTCATCTTCCAAAAAATGTTAGGCTACAAATCAATTGTTAAATCAGAAAGAATCCTAGAATCTTTTCATTCTTATTTTTAAAATGGTCTTTTTCTTCTTTTTTTTTGTTTTTCATTTTTCGCTTAGTAAAGTCTTAAATTCTTAACATCCTCTTGGAAACGTTAAACCTTCTGGTTATGGTTGTGAGGAAGACAGGTTGTCTAAAATTAAAAAGCACATCCCTCTGTGGCCTAAGAGAAAACTGTTTTTGAACATAAGCCTAGACCCAGTGGGAGTGAGGATATTTAAAGGTAATATAAATATTTTTTCTTCCCTTCTAATTTACTTTTCTTCTATCCAGAAAAATTAATACAAATAAAGAATAAATATACCCATGATTAAAATACCTATTAGGTAGAACTTTTAAAAACTACAAAATGATTATACACACATACATACACACACACACACACACTTCCATATACCTGTTACTCAAATTCAACAACTCTCAACAGTTCCCAGTTTTGTTTTAGGTATTTCTCTAGGTTTTTCATTTTGTTTTGCTGGATTTTAAAGAAAATACCATGTATTATGACTTTTTTATTAACCAAAAAAGATGGGCTAAGAAACCCCAAAGGATAACCTGAGGCAAAATGAAATTTCCCAAGGTAAGATGCAGAATAGTATTGCCTTTAGAACTTCTATGCCTCTAAAAAAGATCTTTAGCTATTTTATAGTACCTAATAAACAGAAGAAAATTTTTTGATGGAATTTGTTACTGACATCATGTAGCATGACACAGAAGGAATACTGGACCAAAGTTGGGAAATCAGGTTTGTTTTCTTGCTCTGACATTAATTATTTTGGGGGCAAAGTCATTAACTTCACTGGACCTGTTTTTATTTTTTTCAACATATAAAAGCAATTTTTTTGGGCTGAGGTTGTAGCTCAGTGGTAGAGGGCTTGCCTCGCATGTGTGAGGCACTGGATTCAATCCTCAACACCATATGAAAATAAATAAAGACATTGTGTTCAGAAAAAAGAGAGTTAAAAAAAAACCCTAATTTTTCTGTAATCTTGTTAAATCAACATAGAACTAAGGAGTTTGATTTCTAGAGCATCCAGATAATTTTTCAAATTATTTTCAAAAAAATAAGATTACAAATACCCTCAAACTTGTGATCTTTCTGCCTCAGCATCTCAAGTCGCTGTTTATATAGGAGAGTGCTACTATTCCTGGCTCTGTTTATTTTATAACTATAAATTCTTAGCAGGAATTTATTCTAAGATAGGATAAAAAAATTAATTAAACAATTTAGAGTTCTTTTGACTATTGATTTTTCAACAAAATTAAATACCTTAAAGTTTGCTGGCAATGACTACACTTTTAAAGTCCTTCATGAATAGTTCAAATACGTGCAATCACTACTATTGTGAAGAAAACCTAATATTTATTTCAATAATGACCGTATCTGCTAATTTTATGCTTAGGCATAAGGAACATGATCAACAGGACTTAATTTTCTGGGAGGCTTCCTGACAGATAACTGGCCAACAGAGAAATCTCAGGTGACTCCATGAAATTCTGATTTAAATTATCACATCATCAGATACTGTCGATGACTACCCAGTGATGACTAGGCCAAGAGACAGACATACGGGAAGTGTGGTGGGGCAAAAGAAGACTTGATGGCTCCAGCGTAGATGGCCAAAATGGACACAATGACACAGGCCAGGAAAAGTGAGGCAAACTTGTTCACATAGCGTACGCCGATGAAAACCACCAATACCATGAGGACCAAAAAGGCTGTGCCATAGACACGCATGTTATTTAGCATGGCTGCTGATTCCTTGAGTGCATCATCACTGCGAAAGATGGCAGCCCGGGGGACGATATATACCTGGTAGGCCAAAAAAAGTAGAAAATGAGGTCATTTCGAAATAATCACATAAAAGACCTGAAGGAAAAGCAAAGCTAAAACAAAAAATGACTGAAGAATTAGCTTAAATCCTATTTGGATCTAAAATGCCTACAGAAGTGGGATATCATGACTTTCTTTTCCTTGAATAATTACATTTCCAAATGGAAAAAAGAAACAAGTTGATATTTTTTATTCAAAGGAATATATAAAATAATTTTTATTTTGAGCCCTGCTTCTTCTATCATTACTGTAAATAAAAAAAAATATGTCTCAGTGAATAGAGAAATTGAAACATTTTATTTCACTGGGAGATATATTTTTATTTATTTATATATATTTAATATATTTATTACATATATATTTAAAAAGCTGCATTTTACTATTTCACCATTGGCACTGTTTTGCCTCCTGTTTCAATTAATTAATTAGACATTAACTCCTTGACTGAGGCAGCAGAGTGGCAGTGATCAAGTGGAGGGAAGGGATAAGCTGGCAAAGGATACCTCAACTTTTCTGCCTCCTATTCATAGTGACAACCAAAAAATGAGCTAGTAACCACCTCATTGATTTCTATAACTGATGTCTTGAAACACTGATACTGAATAACAAAATAAGCCCAAATCTATATCTTTTCTATACTGTAGACTACAAGTTAAGACATTACTTACCAGAAAAATTTCAATGGCACCAAGGATATACATGGCTGCTGCAAATGTGGTACCAAGATAAAAGCAGAGGCCAACAGCCCCGCCAAACTCGGGACCCAGTGCCCGGGAAATCATAAAGTATGAGCCCCCAGCTAAAAGACAAAATAGAAGATGAACAGGATAAAGAGAAAGTATTAGTAAAAGGAATATAAAAAGTTATAAATAGGAACAATAAACATACACATGATCCTTCAAATGTCTCAAGCTTTTGAAAATCCTAAATGTGAAAAAAAAAAAAAAAGATTTGCTAGAGGGAAGTAATAGACAAAACCTTGATTGTAGGATATATATTGACATCTAATGCCAGTATAAGGAAGAAATCAGGGATTTTACTTCAGATACGAGATTGTCTAATAAAATACATTCTAACTAGAAGAAGCTAAGAGTGCGACTGAAATTAAAGCAACTGTCTAGAAAATAAATTTTAAAGAAGGTACCCTAAGGTCAAACAGTATTAGTTTCTATGACCTGTAGACTGTTAACTCTATTGTAGTATAGGACAACAGCCTAAAGAGTATTCTGTTCCTTGGAAGTTTGCACCTCTGGCTTTATGCATTCAGTAATCACCAACAATCACTGAAACCCAAGCTTGGCCTACTGACCTGGCACTACTCCATTAGTGGCAATGGCACTCATGGAGATAGCAGTCAAAATTGTCTGTAGAGAAAGAGAAAGGAGAATATTGTTATGGGGCAAGACTGAAATTTCTATAATACTTTCCTATCTATAGCCCTCAGGGCATGTATTAAACATTTAACTATTTTTACTTTTATGGGAGAAGTTGCTGTATACCTAATGGTTTGGAAATGCGACAATATGGTTCAACTCATTCAACTCATTACACTAATCACACTACTGTTATTTGGCATGTACAGTTAATATGTCCTTAACATTGTACTCAGTAGATAAGATGCTATTAAGAACAACTGATCCCACCCTGGATCTCCTAATTAAACAGAAAACAAAGCCTACATAGCAAATTCAAAAGAGTAAATTAAAAAGAATTTACTATGGAAAAAATTTTGGAAAATAGCTTAGAACCTGACTACAGCTATGATACCAAGCTATTTTGTAGCTATGATACCAAGAACAACAGTCAATAACAAAGAACTGATGAAAACTTTTTGAGCATCTAAGAACTGATTAAAAACATTACCTAGTAGCAGAATGTAGAATGGCCTGCAGATAGGGAGTATCTGAAGGCAGAGGGACTGGTTAGTAGGCTACTGCAGAAGTTAAGTGAGGGATAAAACTGCAATGGTGGTAGTGTAAATGAAAAGGAAGGGCTGCACCTAAGAAATTTAAGAGAGTGATTGCTCTTTGTAGCTGATTAGATATAAAAGGCAACCAAGGAGTCAAAAATATGGTATTGACATTTCAAGTCTGTGAAACTGAAAAGAAAAAAAGGTAGTACCATTAAGTTATTAATGATATGGACTATAGCCACTTAACCTGCTTTGTATAATACTCAACTACTCAGCTAAGCATGATGCACTGGGAGGGCATAATGGTGACAGGAATAAAAGACGACAGTAGAAACCTATAATAAAATTGGTAAGTATGGCTAGGATACATAAAAATAGGAGTTTAAGTTAGTGGAAGATCAGGATGTTCTCAATATAGAAGGAAAGAAGACCTGGAAAGAACAACTGAATTTCTAGGAAAGTCTCTTCCCTTTTAGAAGAGACTTCAAAACTAAACCAAACCCAAACCAGATACACCTCACCCCCACTCAAATAATTGTCAATATTTTTTTTCAGGACATATTGGAATAGTTCATCAAAGAAGATGTTTTCTAAAACATCTTCTGTCAAAACTTTTGTGTTATTAAGCTCCAATTATTTAGATTCTGAATTCTTTGAAGATAGAGACTTTTATCTTCTACTTCCACTTGAGGTCTTGTTTTGTAATTTCTAGTACACTGGTGAATAACAGACACTAAATAAATGAAAATCATTTAATATCAGAATAATCCCTACTGTTGAGATCATGATTCTTTCCAAGTATTCTTTATTTTGTTCCCAAAGAAGTCAAGTGCATACACTCCTGAGAACTCGAAGTGCTCTAAGTGACCTCCAAAAGCCAATGTGGGACTTACACAGCAGCAGCAGATAAGGACAATTGCAAATGCCTGAAGAACTCCAGCTGTGCCCACCACCCATGTAAGGCGTAGAAAGAGAATTACTCCAAAAATGTTTTGTAGACATGGGAGGTAGACACCCATGAAAGTACCCATTTGGGGAGTCTGGAAAGATATAGACAAAAGAAAAATTATATAGTCAGCCATGAGATGTTCTTATTCTTTTACTTTTCTTTTTTGCAATTTGCTACCATTTTATTTTTTAATCTTTTCTATAAAAACTTGCTTCCTAATGACCATGTTTATCTTAAAGCAGAGATAATAAATTTAAGTAATATCTTCAAAAAGGCACATATAAATCTCTAGAAAAGTCTGTCACTGTATTTCTAATATTCTTAGAGATATACATTTTTATTTTGCCTAGGTTCTCATGTGTTTATTATATTTAGGAATGTGGCCCTCAACAATTTAAAAATTTCTGTTCTTTAGAGCTGTTAGATTTCTCTTTTCATTTAAAAACGGAATAATGTCCTCATGGAAATCCTTTCGAATTGGGTAAAATTCATTATAGTAGTTAGAAAATGAAACAGATGGAAAAATGAAGATCTTTTATCCCTTTCAAAGAGCTGAACAATTAGAATGTTAAATTATACATATTGTCTCATATTTAAGAAAAACTGGTATTTAGTATTTAAAAAACGCTTCACTACAGATAGATGGCTTTGGCAGATGCGTGTGGACACACTTGATATGCTATTCACTCCCACATGGCTCATTCCCTCATATTAGTTAGGTCTCTGTTCAAATATCACCTTCTCAGAAGGACTTTCTCTGCCAGCTTACCTCAATTAGCAAACTCATCTGTCTGTCTCCTTTATCAGTCTTAGTCTCTGTAACCTTAATTAAACTTTTAAAAGCGTTAATCAACACTTAATATGTAATATACTTTAACAGAGTTACAACAGTTTAAGAACTATCTCCCTACATAACAGCAGGGACACCACATGTACTGCCTGTGCTGACAACAGTGCCCAGAATAGTTCTGATCATATATCAAGCATTTAATAAATAATTATTGAACACAGAATGATGCCAAGGATCTTTCCCCCTTTCTTATGTATAGGGCTTTTAAAATTTATCCTTGTTATTCCAAGGCCTCACCTTGGTGGGCTTCTTTTTCCCCTCAGTGATGTTTTCTGCTTCTTCATGTTCCTTTGCTCCTTGTGTTAGATTAGTGTAATTGGCCATGCGGTTAAGGAGAGAAGATACTTTCGGTCTGGTGTCCATTTCTTCCTGTAAAGTCAGAAATATGGAAGAAATGAGTTGTGAAGAACACTGACAATAAGGATCAAAATAAACTTTCAATCATAAAACTGCAAAGTAAATGAGAAAATATTTCACATGTAAATATTTTAAGAAAATTTATTAATGAAACTATTTGTCCCTCATATTTAAAAGATCACAAAGGAGCTGGAAAATGTAGCTCAGTGATAGAGTACTTGCCTTGCATGTTCAAGGCCCAGGGTTTGGTCACCCAGCACCACAAAAAATAAAAACAAAACAAAAAGCAGTATTTAATCAGGTCACTAAATCCTTATAAAATTATTTTTTAGGGGATAAATTAAAATTTTATGTACTATGGGTAACATGTTTTGAAATGTGCATACATTGTGAAAAGATTAAATCAAGCTACTTAGCATATACATTGCCTCAAATATTATTTTTTTTTGTGGTGAGACCATTTAAAATCTGCTGAGAAATTTTTTTAAAAAGTTTTTTTTTTTAGTTGTAGATAGACAGAATGCCTTTATTTTATTTAATTTTTTATATGGTGCTTAGGATCAAACTCAGTGCCTTACATATACTAAGCAAGTGCTCTGCCACTGAGCTACAGCCCCAGCCCTCTTGAGTAATTTTTGAGAATATATTTACTATAGTCATAATGTTATAAACTAATCTGAAAATCTTATTCCTCCTGTCTCACTAAAACTTTATACTCTATGACTAACATCTCCCTGTCAGTCCTATCTCTGCCCCAGGTAACTACCATTCTGTTTTGTACTTCTATGAGTTTGACTTTTTCAGATTCCACATTAAGTAGTATTGTATAAATAGACATTATGTAGCATTTGTCTATCTGTGCATGGTTCATTTTATTTAATGTAAGTTTCTCCAGATTCATCCATGTGACCAACGACAGGATTTCCTTCTTTTTTAAGTAAATAGAAAACTATTACATTGTGTATGTATATCATATTTTCTCTGTCCATTTGTCCACTGAGAATACCTAAGAGTTGATTACATATCCTGGCTATTGTGAATAATACTATAATGAATAGGGAGTACAGATATCTCTTTGGCATAATGATTTCATTTCCTTTGGAATATACACCCAGAAGTGGAATTGCTAGATCATGTAAGAATTCTATTTTTAATTTTTTGAAGAAACTCCATGCTGTTTTATGCTTAGAAATTTTTATTTTATTTTGTGGTTTTGGTGATCAAACCCAGGACCACATGCTTGCTAGGCAAGTGCTGTAACATTGAGCTATACCCTCAATCCCCTACATATAACACTCTTAAATGAAAACTCATTATTCTTTATAGTAGCTATGAAACTTTATCTACAGTGCAAACAAAATAATGCAACCTAGAAAAGAATATTGGTAATATGATCCTTAACTATAACACCCCCTTTTGTGGGGGCTACTAACATTTATAGCAATTACTATCATTTTATTTATTAATTTGCTGTGCTAGGGATGGAACCCATGGTCTCGTGCATGCTAAGCTGATGCTCTACCACTGAGCTATATCCCCAGCCATATGGTAATTATTCTACCACCACCTTTGTCTGGCTTTGGACAGTGATTCAAGTGTCATATCTCCTAATATTTTTTTAATAGTATTTCCTTTCAGCTTCCTTCAAACAAAGGTCTGAGGTGAATATTTTGTTTAATCACAAACGTTTGTCCTTAACCTATAAGACATATAGTAAAAATATAATTAGATTATATTTTATCTTAGATAATCTTATCTAAGTCCTTTTCATTATGCTAAGTGAAACAAGACAAATACCACATGACCTTACTTATATGCATAATCTAAAAAAGTTGAACTTATAGAGTAGAATGGTGGCTACCAGAGGCTGAGGGCAGAAGAGGGAGATGTTAGTCACAGGGTAAGGCATAAAGGTTCAGTTAGACAGAAGGATTGTTTTCAGATCTACTACACAACATGGTAACTACAGTTAATAATAATATATATTTCAAAATAACTTAAAAAAATTTCAAGGTTTGTACTACAAAAAATAAGTGTATAAGGTGATGGACATGTTAATTAGCTTGATTAAAACACTTCCCAATAAATCAAAATATCATATTTTTACCCTCCAAATACATACAGTTATTTGTTAAGAGGACATATAGGTCCTCCTTAACTTACAGCCTCTTCCTCAGTGGTTTTTGTTTAATTATAAGATAAATAACACTTTCCTCAAACAGCATTAAGAAATACACTGCTTTATACTTAGAAAATTATTCCAATGTAAATATTTAAATCATAGAAAAGCTAGCTTGCAACATTCTACATGTGACTTTTCTCCCTTACTTCAAAGAAATGTGATTTAATGGGTACATGCTACAATTAGATTATACAGACAAAATTAACAATTACAAGTTATAACAATAACTACTGTATTTTAAGAAAAAAATTAGTTGTAGATGAACACAATACCTTTATTTATTGATTTATTTTTGTGGTGCTGAGAATTGAACCTAGTGCCTCACATGTGCTAGGCAAGTGCTCTACCACTGAGCCACAACCCCAGCCCTAACTACTATATTTTATTTTATTATTCAGTTTGTACTATTTTAAAACCAAATGGGACAGAAAATGGCTTATCTTGAAATTTCTGTTCCTTAAGTCTCTGTCCATAGTTTTCTCCAAAGTATTACCTCAAAGAGTGCCAAGTTTTTATCAAAATATTCATCTCCTTCTTCAAAATTGGAATTATTGAGGTAAGCATTTCGAGCTTTCTTACGCCCATCATCTGGAACAAAGGGTAAACCAAGTTAGTTTCTCATTAGCATTGAAGAAGTATCAGTACCAAATACCTGTGTGTTGCCTCTGTATTAATATAACTAATTTTCACATTCAGATTTAATGTAACAGAATTCAATCAGCATTGCATGGAAAATGTGGCTATCTTTCCAAAAGGAGTAAAAGAAAATCTTTAATAAATAAATGTGGGTCATTCCTTTTTTTGATAAAAAAAAAAAAACCTTTGGAGACACTATACTTTGAGGATTCTAGCCTATAATGACTCATTCCTAAAGTTGCCTCATTCCAGGATGAGAAAAAAAATACATTTATTAAGTGCCTACTCAATGTACAATACAGTACTGGGCTACTTTACACACTTGTTATGGTTTGGATGAGATATGTCCCCCAAAAGCTCATGTATGAGACAATGTAAGGTTTAGAGGACAAATGATCGGGTTATGCAGCATTAACCCAATCAATGAATTAATTCTCCAATGGGATTAAGTGAGGGGTAGCTGAGGCTAGTAAAGTTGTCTGGAGGAGGTGGGTCATTAGGGGCATGCCTTTGGGGTATATATTTTGTATCTGGTGAATGAAGTCAGTCTCTCTCTCTCTCTCTCTTCTCTCTCTCTCTCTCATCATGTGAGCTGCTTCCCTCTGCCACACTCTTCCACCATGATGTTCAGCCTCACCTGGAGTCCCAAGGAATGGAGCCGGCTGTCTATGTACTGAGATCTCTGAAACCATGAGCCCCCAAACAGACTTTTCCTCCTCTACAATTTTTCTGGTTAGGTCTTTTAGTCACCTCAGCAAAAAAAGCTAACTGAAATAACACTGTTACTGTAAATAAGGAAAGAAAAAGCTCTCTGACTTATTTGCTTATTTTTGGTACTATGTATTGCATCCAGGGTCTTGCACATGATGGGCAATTACTCTACCAGTGAGCTATACCCCCAGCCCTTTCAAATTTTATTTTGGAACCAAGTCTTGCTAAGTTACTTAGGCTGGCCTCAAACTTGTCATCCTTCTGCCTCAGCCTCCTGTAGCTGGGGATTATAGGCATGTGCCACCATGTATGGAGCTTCTTCCACTTTTTTTTTTTTTAATATTAAAAGAGGCACTCAGTGGAAATTTGATGAACCAGCTGTGAAAAAAAAAATACTGAGCGCTCAAGACAGCAAAGTTTGTGTTGATTATCTCCTTAACTTTGTTTTTTATTGTGTAAAAGTTATATAATCTAGCAGGAGAGAATAGAAAAATAAGGAGTCCTAGTGGCCAAAAGTGGGATAAGTACTAAAAAAAAAGAAATGATCTGAAATGCAGACACAAGAAGTATCCAAAATGATACTTTCAAAAATTAATCACCTTTGCAGAGTTGTTAAGAAAACAACACAGAACTCTGAAAAACAGTAGAAGGAAAGAATCAAGTAATTACACTCTTATTCCAACTGTACTTCAGGATAACTAAATTGCTAAAAGAAAACTTCATTTTAGAAGCATTGTAGCTAATTTATGATAGATGGAATGATAAGACTTAGAAAAAAAGAGAATAATTTGCAACTCCTTTGAAAATAATAGATCTAGGGAAGGATCATTAATAGTTGCTAAAATCAATAGGGAAAGGGCTGAGGCAGAACCTTACAATCGGAGAACCTTACAATTACCAGGGTGGTACAGAGCCCACTGAAAGTAGGACAAGACAATGTCTTACTGTAACACAATGAAAAGCACACTGTACAACCTATGCTATATTATGAAAAGGATGGAAATTGAATCTAATTAAGCCTGCACATCTAACTACCAGTTTTCTCTTGCACACAAACACATGCACACATACACACACACCACAAAGGATGAACATGTTAAATAAATGCCATCACAAGGATATAATCATCAAATTCATGACAAATATTATTTCTTCAGCAAATGTCATTAACCAAAAAAAGTGAACTCTCACAGATTTGAGATATAACAATCAATTATTAAGATGTGAACCTTGGGGCTGGGACTATAGCTCAGCAGCAGAGTGCTTGCCTAGCGTGTGTGAGGTCCTGGGTTCGATTCTCAGCACAACATACAAATGAATAAATAGAATAAAGGTATTGTGAAAACAATTTTTTAAAAAAGATGTGAATCTTGCTAGATCCTGACATAAACAATTCAAATATAGAAAGATACTTTCAAAACAGAGAAATTTGAATACACACCAGGTATTTTTTAAAGGGGTAAGTAAAACTGTTTGATGTCTGGGATTTTCTTTAATATTCTAGGCAGCATAATACAGTGATACATGTACACCCATATTTACAGCAGCACAATTCACAACAAATTATGGAAGCAGCCTAGGTGTCTGTCAGTGGATGAATGGATAAAGAAAATGTGGTATATATACAGAATGGAGTTTTATTCAGTTATAAATAAAATGAAGTTATGCCATTTGAAGGAAAATGAATGGAACTTGAGAACACATGTTAAGTGAAATAAGCCAGACTTAGAAAGTCAAGGGTCAGGGCTGGGCTTGTGGCTCAGTGATAGAGCACTTGCCTACCACATGTGAGGCACTGGGTTTGATCCTTAGTACCACATAAAAATAAATAAAATAAAATAAAGGTATTGTGTCCATTTACAACCAAAAAAATATTTTTAAAAAGTCAAGGGTCTGATGTTTTCTCTCAAATGTAGAAGCTAGAGGAAAAAAGGGGGTGGGGGAATCTCATAAAAATATAAGGAAGACCAGTAGAATACAAGAAGATCAAGAAGGAGGAGGAGAAGAAAAGGGGAGGTACTGTGGGACAAAATTAACCAAATTATATTGTTAAATTGTGTACAAATATATAACAATGAATCCCATCATTTTGCATAATTATCATGCACCAATAAAAAATCTGGAGAAAAAAATATTGTAGGAAAAATATAAGTGGAAATGTGAAAAGCTTGGAAATGCTGCTAAAGCTGGGTAATGGGTTTATGGAAGTTCATTAAGGTATTCCACTTTTCTATACCTTTGGTATTTTCCAAAATAAAAAAATTTTTAAAAATTATTAAAAAAAAAGGAAAATGTAATTTCCTTCTTTCTCTAGTGGCTACTGAATGACACAGTTTAAATGATTACCACTTCTGAATGATTCATTTATTCAATTAAATCAAATATTTATTAAATTTCTATAATGTGCTGGGTGCTATTTTGGAGATATAGTAGTAGACAAGGCAATGAGATCTTGCTTTCACTCTGCCTATATTGAAGTTGCAGAAGACAGAAAATATACAAATTTAAAAAGCATTTCAAGAAGTGCTAAATTCAATGAAGAAAATAATGTAACAGGTACTGGGGTAGACCACGACTGGGGGGATTGGGAGGAGGGCAACTTTAATCAGAATCATTAGTGTCTTCTAAAGCAGGCTCTCCAAAATCAAAACCAACCAAGCAACCTATCCCAGATTTATAATATCTGCCAATTTCTGTAGGGTAATTACTCACACATAACCAATTTCAAACTACTTATGTGAATACAGTGAAAATTGTTTTGAGAAGAGATGCATACAACTGTCTCTTGTGAGTGGATATGAACAGGCTGCAGCACAATCTTAGCATAGGATGGTAAGGGAAAGCCTGCATTTAAGGCAGAGAGAAAAGCAATTTCAAAAGATCTTAAAGCAAAAAAAAAATCCTGATAAATTCATTAAACAGGAAGGATAATATAACTGAAGTAGAGTAAGGAAAGGAAAGTGTAGTTAGAAAGGTACGAAGGAGTCAGATCATGTAGTTAGCCAACAGACAGCTCTTCCAAAATCACTTATTGAATAGTTCCCTCCTTTTCTACCTCCTTCCTTCCACCCCAAACACCTGGACTCAAGTGATCCTCCTGCTTCAACCTCCCAAATAGTTGGGACTACATTTGCATGCCACGGTGACACCTGTCCCTCTTTTTCTGATAGATCTATTCTAGAAAATAAACATGAGGGAGGTTGGAGCCAGGAGAGAGTGATATAAGAGTGTGCTATTTTTTTTTCTTCATTATTTGGGTTAATACATATGGCTTTTTGTCAAGTAAAAATCTTATTAAAGAGGCCGGAAAAATGGGACAAATAATTTAGGATAGCAAAATGATTCAAATATATCAGTATTACCAATAATTATAATAATGTAAACAGACTAAATTCACTAGTAAAAAATATAAAGATTGATGGATTGGTTTAAATAGCAAAATCCAGACATGGTGTTTATTAGAGACATAATATAAGGACATACAAAACGTTGAAAGTTGAGTTACACCACACAAATACCAAAAAAAAAAAAAAAAAAGCTGGTATAATTTTGTTACTCAGATAAACCTGTGTTCAAGAGAAAAACTTAAAAGATTAGAAGATAACTAAATAATAAGGTCTAATTTGCTAAGAAGGTACAACAATTTAAAAACATACATGCATTGTTCAGTTATTAATTTTTGTGCAAAAAAATTGCCCCCACATTTATTGGCTTAAGCAATACACACACTTATTATCTCATAATTTGTTCAGGTAGCATTAAAAAAAGTTTTTTTTTTTTTTTTTTTTTGTAGTGCTGGAATGGGACCCAGGGTCTCACACATGCTAGGCAAGTGCTCTGCTACTAAGCTATATCCCCAATCCTATTAAATGTATGTGTGTGTTTTCTGCTGGGGACAGAACCCAGGGCCTTGCACATGCTAGGCAAGAGCTCCACTCTGAGCTAGATCCCTAGCAGTTAGGCAAATTTTTAGAAATCTGGAAACCTTTTTAAACTGTCACATTACTAATACATATGGACTGGGTTCTACTATCTTTTTCTTTTTTTTCCCTCCAGGAATTTTTTTTCCTTTTTATATATGCACAGGAATAATAAACAATAAAAATCTATGTCCCAATAAGCCTAAAAAGAGATTTTTCAGCAAATACAAAATAAAAATTTGAAGTGATGAGAAAGTATTGTTTCTTTTTTAAAAAATTATTTATTTATTCTAATTTGTTATACATGATAGCAGAATGCAA